TGCAAGGCAGGCAGCAGAACCACTGAGCTAAATCCCCAGCCCAAGGCAAACAATTTTTAATAAGCATAAATTTAAGAGTTAGGCATGTCAAAAACAATAATTTTTAAAAGCAACAACTGGGAAAATATCTTTAAAAATATGAAACATAATGGATCCACATCCTTAACGCAAGCAGATCAATAAATAACAGTAAATTCTCCAGTAGAAATTGGACAGATGACACCAAACAGGTACTCAAGAAGAAAATTAAATGTTCAAAACACATTTGGAAAAATTCAGAATTATAACTTTTAAATGCTAATTACAAGATGTCATTCTTGCTTCAACATATTAAAGATTAATAATGACTCCTGTCAACACTGGCAAAGGTTGCAGAGACAAGATACGCCCATGCTCTGCTGGCAACAGGATCAGTACCATCTTTTTTATAGTAATTTGTCAGTACACATCAAAATCCTTCACAACATACTCGTTCATAAAAGTTGGCAGTGGATGTCAAAGGTGTGGTCGATGGGCTGGTAGAGTCCCTGAGACCTTCTCAGGGATCTATAAGGTTGAAATATTCTTACAAAAAGAGCAAGACTTCATTTACTTCTTTTTTTTTTTTTTTTCTTTCTTTGGTATTGGGACCTTGTGCCTGCAAGGCAGGCGGCAGAACTACTGAGCTAAATCCCCGGCCCTATTTGCCCTCTTGTATTGACATTTGTACCTATATACTGCACATGTACAACAAGTAAACCATTACTGTAGTCGTAATTATTGTATTTCTCATCACACACTTGCAGGAGAAAAAAGAAAAGCAAAAAGACTGTTCACTTAAAAGTATTCACTAATTAAAATAAACAAATACATATCAAAGCTCAGGGGAAAGCACTTGCTTGATTTTTTGAGAGCTGAACTAGCCACTTTTTCCACAGAACACAATTCCTACTTGAATGAACAATGAACGAAGTATGATTATTCAGATTTTGATAACTAGCAGACATTTTCTCGAAAATAAATGATGTGAGCCTGTCACTTCAAGGAAAACAACTGGTAGCATTTGTTGCCAACAGTCAAAGTTGAGCTTTCAAGGGAAAATTCAAATATCGGAAAGCTCATATCCATCACCATAAGTTTGACAACTTCAAATCATACAGACTTCTGACAAGATCAGTGGTGCTATTAACAAATGTGACTTTTTTTATATTGTATAATGAAAGGTGACAACGTTTGGGAGATGTGTATAGTTCACAACCACCTTTTTACAAAGGAGCAATGCAGGAGAATAAAAATCACATAGGGTCTGGGTGTGGCAGCAAACGCCTGGATCCCAGCACTCTGGGAGGCGGAGGCAGGAGGATCACAAATTCAAGCCCAACCTGGGCAAATTAGTGATTTAGTAAGACCCTGTGTCAAAATAAAATAATAAAATTTAAAAAGGGTTGGGGATATAACTCAGTGTGAAGGCCTTGGGTTCAATCACCAATAATAAACAAAAAAAAACCCCAACCAATCAACCAAACAAAAACCATGCATTGGCAAAAGATCCATTTAAAGTTCAAAATAGACCAGTGGATTATAAAAGTATGAAAAGTTTCTCTTTTTTTCCTCCCAACACAGGGTCTTGGTATGTAGTCCAGACTGGGCTTGAACTCACTAAGTAGCCCAGGCTGGCCTCAAACTTGCAGATATCCTACTTCAGCCTCCCCGAGTGCTGGGATTATAGGCATGTACCATCACACCCAGTTCAAAAAGTTTCTTGATAAGATTTTAGATTCCATGTTGCAATTAACCTTTAGGAAAATATCACTTGGGAATAATAGATAATGTAAAATAGGAAGAAAAGGTCCAAAGGGGTAGGGGTAGTGGGAGGGGCAGGGGAAAGGAAAGAAGGGAAAGGAAAAATGATGAGAAATGGAAAAAATGGAAATAAAGTCTTTGCAAATAGGGAAGGGTGGAGGGCGTGAAGGGAGGGCTAGGAATGGGGAAAAAACAAGAACCAAGATGCATTATGTAAAGGTACAATTCCCAATGAGAAATGTAATTGTGTTGTATACCTACAATGTACCAATAAAAGAATTTAATACAAAAAAAAAAAAAAAAGGAAAATATCATTTGGGCCAGGGATTTAGCTCAGGGGTTTCGCTGCCTGCTGCGCGAGCACAAGGACCCAACTTTGATCCCTGGAACCAAAAAAAAAAAAAGAAAGAAAACATCATTTGCTGGAGTTTGTGTAAAAACAAAAATATCCACAATTATCTCAAAAGCGTATTACTCTTCCTTAATCTAGCGGTGGTAGACCTATGGTGTGCATGTCACAGTGGGCTGTTTATATCATTGAAGTGCATAATCAAAAACAACATATTGGGCTAGGGATGTAGCTCACTGCATGAAACCCTGAGTTCAATCCAGAGGTAGGGGTGTGGAGCACCCAACAAGTTGAATTCGGAGACAGATATGTTTTCTTTCATTAAGTAAAGGCACTAAAGAGATTCACAGAAGTTTAGGACAGTATCATTTGCTCACCACTTTTTTTGAAATTACAGTTATTATTCATAAAACCTGGTAGGAAGTAATGAGCTTACTCGTTTTGGAAATAAATTAAGTAAATTTTTAATTTCTCATTTTAGTTCATATTTTGGCAAATATCTATAGATATAACCCACATAAACAAAAGTTCTTTTGAGGCTTCAATATTTCAGAGTTTAAGAGGCTCTGGAGACCAACCAGGCTGTGAACTTAGGATTCGGCCATTCCCAACTTCTGGGAGTCTACAGGAAGAAAATATGCAGACCTGATTTTACATACATGCAAAAATAAATTATGTAAAATATTAGATAAACAAAACCTTTGAAAACAACAAGGACCTGGGTAGTATGTGTGGAATGTGATATTACTGATTATTTGAAACAAACTCCTTAGACTTTTTAAAGATGAGGAGGCTCACAATATATTGGAGAGGGGGAGTAAAATCTACAAAAAAAAATGAACAAGATTAGCGGGGCATGGTGGTGCACTCCTGTAATCCCAGCACTGAGGAGGCTGAGGCAGAAGGATCACTGTGAGTTGAGAGCCAGCCTGGGCTACATAGTGAGATCAAGGCCAGCCTAAACTATATAGCAAGACCCTGTCTCAAAACAATCACAACAAAAAAACCCAAAAAAACAAAACAGCTACGCACTTTTAAAAAAAGAGGCACCCACCAAAAAATAAATGCTATTGTTATCATTAATACTAATTAAGGTAGAACTAAGAGGGGGGCGAAAAACATTCTAGACACTGTTTGGTCATTAAACATCTTTAGGGTTTTTTATGTCATTTAACCTCCTGAACTACCAGAAATTATCTCAGAGGTCCTTACCTGACCAACTGTCTGATAAAATGAACTACTGCATCTCAAAGGTATTCAAGACCTTTGCAACATTCATATAAAGTACAACAGTGGTATCATGAAAACTGTGAAACCAACTCCAAAATCACACTATTTATAAAATTCTGACCCAATCTACTAAATGGCTTTTTCATTTCTGCTTTTGCAGATTAGTTTGGGCTATCTAAATAAAGTTTCCCGAAGAGAGAATTACCCCCTGAATGGTACTATATTTGGAAGAAGTGGTAAATATTTAGGCATATAATGAGCAGGAAAGTGCAAAAAAGAGTAAGCTTGAATGTATGGTGTCCCATACATTCTTCTAAAGGACTGATAAGACTACCTACCGAGGAGGTTAAGACAAAAAAGAGAAGAAGAGAGAGTGGAAGAGAAGAGGATGCAAAAATACAAAGTAATAATATATGCACACAACGACATCAGGATTCCAAAAATGTATGCTCTATTCAAAAACAGCCTAGTAAAATCTAACATTTTCCTTGGCTATCCAACTTTCACCCACGTTACTGCTCATGAAAGAACCAGAAGGAATGAATGATAGAAAATTAAATTCCAACTTGTCAATTCTGTTCCTTGTTAGGAAATCCGATAACATCTTGAAGACTATACAGAGATAAATATTACCTTAGATTAAACCTGGCTAATATTGGAAAGAGACCCCTTCAGATAACAGACTAGGACTAAAAACCTGAGGTACTTAAAAGATCTTCCACCTAACCTTGATGTGTATTTTAACGTCTAGTACCCAAACACTTCTCTTTCCTTAAAAACAAATAAATAACTTCCATGGTGATGTGTTACACATCATGGGCAGGGAAGCTCTCCTTACAGATAACCATGCTCAATGCCATGAAACTAAATATACAGGTTTCAGTTTGGTTTTGAGTTAAAAAGAAAAAAAAAGTATGCAAACATTCTGTACTTTGAACACAGCATAAATAGAGGAACTTAGTTGTCCTGCACTGCTTATTCATGCAATGTTTGGGTCTCAGCATTCACATCTTTAAAATGAGGAATCTATTTAACTCCTAAAGTTCTTTCTTAGAAAAAAATGGGTAATTCCAAAACTACTCAAAAAAGAAGTGTTTGGGGGAAGAGAGAAATATCAAATACACCCGGAAGGTGCAGACATCTGAGGAGAAACATTCGGATCTAGTTTCTTTGGAATGGGAACCCTCGAGGCACTTACTGCAGTCTACATCCTGCATCCCTTCAGGCCTGTGCTCCCTTTTTTATCTCCAGTGGCCAGCTGAACAGGGCCCTAGTTTGCTCCTTTTGAATCTACAACTCCTGTTTTCACTCTGCGAAGACCCTGTCGCACGTCATCTATACTAGTCTCTGTCAATTACCCCCGGACACCTACCATGTGCGCCCCTCACCCAAATATATAGCAAGTTTTCAATAAACGTGGGTTGACCTGATTTGCGAGGCCTTCGGAAGCCACTAAGAGTTGTGTGTGGAAAGTAGGTGAAAGAAGAAAGCTCTCCCGCCATTCCTGACCTGCTAACCCTTCGGACTCGTGCTCCTCCCCGCACTCGTGTGTGACACGTGGCTCCTAAGAGATGACTAGGCTGCCAAGGCGCAGCTGCTGCAGGCGTAGGGCCGTGAGGGGGACAAGAGGGGCACTTACCTGGGGAACCTCTGCTTCAGCTTCCTCAGGCTCTGCCTGGTGGGCGGTACAGACACTAGGCACTGGGCTATCTCGTCGTACTGGGCTTTAGTCAATATCATGTTGGGCCAGGGTCGGGTGGTGAGAGGGACAAGGAAAAAACACCCTGGGCTGGGGCAGCCCAAGGCCTGGGGCAGGAGGGGGTAGGCAAACAGAGGCACGACTCGGGGTCCTTGTCTTCCTTAGCCTGCCCCTATCCTCCCCAAAGCACACTCCTAGCTGCACAGGCGGGGCGGAGACACTCTGGGTCCCAACCTTCACCAAGAACCTCCGAGGCAGGGGCGGGCTGTAGACCGGATTGCCCTACCAGGATTTACTGAGCAGCCGTAGAAGGCCACGCTGAAGGCAATTAGATGCCATGTCAGGTAAGGGCAAACCAACCAGGAAGTGGCGGAGGTCCCGGGTGCCAGAGTCTAGGCTGGCAGGTATCCCCGGCGTTGGCCACCTGGGATCGGTCAGAGAGAGATGCTCTGGAGTTCACACTGTCCCCGTTGTTAGGAGCCAGGAAGGCCTAGTGCACAGACCAGGGATAGGTCTCACGTGGTAACCCGCCAGCCTTCAATTTGAGCTCCCGAAAGCCTCTGCCTGAGCGCGATTTGAATATTTCCAGGCGCGCTTTGGTGCGGATCGGAGCGGGGCGGTCTCTGCTCGGAGACACCCGCCTTCTCTCTGCGCCCGAGCCGCGAGGGAGACCCGGGGGGATCGCTGGGAACATTCAACTTCGGCTGCTGTTGGGGAGTTATGCAACTTCAGCAGCTCCATGGAAGGTAGTTTTCTCTTTATTGGAAAACAGACTTAAACCCTACATCATCAGACAACCAACAGTAAAGAATACCGCTTTCACTCCCTAAAGTTAGATGCTCAAGGACTGAAATCGTACTCTTAGCCGAGCTTTCAGAAAAGTATAGACTCCCAATAAATATTGGGAGAAATGAATCACTAAGTTAATCTTTTGTCTTCTGTATGGATTTCAGCTTCCCTAAGGCAATTTATTGAAAAATCAGCCCCTCCTTTAAACCCTTTTTTAAAAATCCACTTGGTTCTTAGAAGGCCATGTGTTGTGTTTCTTTCCTTCAAATCTTAACATTTTAAGCAAAGGAAGAAAAAAAAATGGTTAGATCTTAGACAACGTGTGAGTGGTTTGAATTTTTTTTTTTTTAATGGAATAAATCCTGGGCTGGAAGTGTAGTTTAGATATGCCTCCTTGGATAAATTCCTTAATCCTTTAAAGCCTCGATTAGTGTGTATAAAATTAAATTCTAATCCACGGAGATGTCTTTAAATTAAATAAGATAATACAAGTAAAGGGATGCTTATCATAGTGTCCAATAAATACTCTATATAAAATAAATAACCCATTTGATACAAATGGACAGGGTGTTTACTAGATACCGCTTTACAGGCTCTCCATGGAAAGACTTACCTAATCCCCATAACTTCCTGTGATGCAGGTTCTTCTGCCATTATCATCCCCCTCCTCTCTTTTGTACAGAGTGAATAAACTAAGCATGAAAAGGTTGAGGAACTCGCCAAAGGTTGTGAGAACAAGTAGTAGCATGGCTGAGTATTAAACTCCAGAAATTTTGTTCCAGAGTCTGTGGTCTTGCCAGCTCTCGATAATGCGTAATTACTACATCAAATAGTCAACACTCTCCTAGGCCAGAGGTTAAGGGTTTTTGTTGTTGTTTTTTTTAAAGAAAATACTCTACATTTCAAAGACTCTGTTAGTTGGGATATTTAAAAATGTTCCATCACTTTATTTTCTCAGGCTTCTCCAAATCCAGGAGCAACAGTGGCTCCTAACTTCAGCAACCATCATTTTTCCCTGAATGTTTACATCGAAATGTTTTCTTCCCATATGCTTTGCATCTAGCCCTGGTTGTGTGACATTGGTACATAACTATTTATTTATGGCAGCATGGCCTGGAGTTGCCACCTGGCTAGTTTGTTGCTGACCCTGCCATGACTTTTACATGAAAGCCCGCTGACAATAAGCAGGCACCACTAGACTCCCCTGTTCCTTTTCCCATTCACAACTTCACTCTTTCCAATTCACAGCCATCAGACTTTTATAGAAAACATCAGTTCAAGGATGTTTGCACTAGTTATTTTTTATAGCAACTCTGCTTTCTGGCTCTTGTCTTGTATTCACTCTCACAACCCTTAAGAAAAACACCAGGTTTGTGTTTCTGTTTTTATTTTTAACATGTTGCCGGTTTACAATCTTGACGCAAATCCAGTAGATTGTTTAGAGTTGGTGCTGGGAGAAAAGCACAGTTATGTTGTAATTTTCATTAGCCATAACAGTAGTGTTGTTTATTAAGCACAAAAACAGAAGCAGAACAGAGATGTTTTGTTTAATTGACTTCTTTCTTATAATATGAAAGAGTTGGGATTAGCAGATTATTTCTCTGAGGCATCCTTTCTCCTTCCCTTACTCTCCTCTATCCTGGGGCCGTCTCTCATGACACCCTAAGCTCCTCATGTGCTACTATTCCTAGAGATTTCCAAATCTGTCGCCCAACAGCACCGTCTCCCAGCTATGTGAAGAAAGGTTGTGAAATATGCCAAACTAAAATCCAAAAGAACAGACTACCTGTTTAAAATCAGCCAGGAAATGTGTCATCTTGAGCTGCTGACAGCCTCTCTGATCCTAACTGTCCTCCATATCACCTTTATCCTCATCTGAAAGGGAGAAAAAAGTCCAAAAATATGGGAAAGGTTGAGAGGTTGAGGAACTCATACCAAGAATATATGCCAAAATGAGGACCAGTACAGCTCCCTGGGAGAACCTATAGCCCTGACAGATGGACCAGAGTGACCGAATTCCTTTCTGCCAATTCCTGGACTATGCAAATGTTGAACAATTTTAAAGGAATATGGAATTCACCAAGGAGGCATCAGATCATTCCTAGAAGGCCACTCACAAAGGACTAAAAATAAGAATGAACCAAATCACATGCCTAGGAAAATTATTTGTACTAAAGCAGAAGTTTTAGACCGAATGAAAAGAGTTGAGGATGCCTGACCTTGGAAAGAGTCACATTTTCAAACAAATCCAGTGCCTGTTTTCAAATGTAAATTCTGAAGGATTATTTTTATTCTATTGTAAAATCTGATTCTATTCAAGGAGTCTCTGTTAAAGTTATTGATCATTGTAAAGAAGTTACTGAGGTTTACAAACTGCATAAATAAATAGGGAGTTAATGTTATTTGGGCACCTATTATGGGCCAACATTAGCTCATCATACTTTATCACACTTAATCTTCATAATAACCCTATGTAGTCAATCTTATAGCTCCGGTTTATAGATTAGAAAACTGAGGCTCCAATATAGAAAGGATTTACCTGAAGGGTCGAGCTACTTAATGCAAAACCATGTTTTAAACCCAAGTTAGTCTGATTATAGAGCTTCATGTTCCCTATTGCACTATGCTGTTATTTAAAAAGCAACTGAAAACTCTTTGGTGGAATTATGCACAATTAAACATTTACTCCTGGGAATGGCACCTACCTTCTTTGGCCACCAAGATGCCCTTTGAAGGGGCAATGATCTTTAATTTTGATGCTTAGCTAAAACACACTATTAAAAATTTATTTCACCACTTGGATGAGAAGAGATTGCATGTTTTTCAGTTTGTGCTATAAGACACTACTTTAAGTGATAGTTCTTTTTAAAGCAAAGTTTAAGTCTATACTTGCCATGCTTTGGTGACAGGTCATTTTATTCTGATTCTCAAAAGTAATAAAAGCTCCTAGTAATAATAAAGACCAGAATACTTTAGTTGTTGAGGAGCAGAAATGTAATAACTTTAGGAAAACAAAGGAAACATACCAAAAGAAGTCCACACTAATGGTGCAGTAATTGCACTGAAGGGCAACAAAAACCAAAAGTCAAATGTGGATCCCTTCATGCAAGTCAATTATAGATGAACTCCTGGTGTGAGACCTGGCAACCTGAATCCAGAGGAAGGTTACGTGTCATTGGACCATTCACTTAGGGGCCATCACAGGCAAACTGTCCCATGTGCATGGAATTCAGAATGCCATCTCAAGTTTTTTTACTCAATAATACTAAGAACTGATGTTGAGCAGGCCGCTTCCCAAAAGCAGGAAGGAACCATGCGGCCTGCTTCACATTCATCAGCCTTCCCTTAATTCTCATATCTAGACATATAAATCAAAAGTTGTTACTAAATCTGTTTTTCCAGGTAAGAAAACTAATGCACATAAAGGTGGTTTCTATGTACTTCATCAGTTATTATGCAGCACTCTGCATGTTTTCCAAACCATCTGTGCTGAGGGCTCAGTTTTCTCTCAATTTGTCAGGGAGAAATTAGCAAAGTACTGTAAGATAGAAAATGAATTAATCAAAAGTGAAATTAAAAAAAATTTTAAAAGACAGTGAGGTATGGGTATAATACATGCCTATATAATTCCAGCACTCTGGGAGGCTAAGGCAGGAAGGTCATAAGTTTGAGTAACACACACACACACAACAACAACAACAACAACAAAGACAAAATAAAAGCTGGAAATTTCTTATTTTGAGATTCAATAGAATACAGTTACTCCATCAAATGAAGATGAGATGTTCTAAATGCTTATTTTCCATTTCGGTACTAACTACATGAAAACCTGTAACAGAGCCTGAGGTGATGGCATATATCTGTAATCACAGCTACTCAGCAGGCTAAGTCGGGAGGGTCACAAGTCTGAAGCTAGCTTGGGCAGCGTAGTGAGACCCTGCCTGAAAATAAAAATTTTAAAAAGTTGGGGGCTGGGAAGGGGACAGTGGATGCACCTCAGTGCTAGAGCACTTGCTCAGCATGTGCAAGGCTACTGAATTCAGGTTCAGTTCAAACAAGAAGAAAAAGAAGGGGAAGAGAGGAGGGGAGGGAAGGGGAGGAGGAGGAAGAGAAGGAGAAGAGGAAGAAGACGTGCAACAAAAAGTTTGAGGACCAATACTGGTTTGCTGATCATGTTTTGAGTAGCACTGTACCGTAGAAAGATAAAATTATAAACCAGGTATATGCAAAGGCAGAGGGCTAATTCCAAAGCCTAGGGTCTCATACTTATTGTGTATACTCAGTTAGAAAAGGTGTATAACCTGTTTCTCTTAAGACTTCTAAGCATCAACCATCATTACTGTTAATATTTTTCTACTGTTTCTTTTTGAATGATACATAGTTATTAAGATCAACAATGCAAATTTTTACAGGTTATTTAATTTGTACTGTATAAGGTTGACACAGTGTGGGTTTTTTTTTTAGCATAAAACCTAATTTCTTCTT